ATGGGCTGTCATATGACAAAGGCAGAGAGCCACTAAGAGCTTTCTCCCATTTTTTGTCTCAAGTGGAAATGGAAACTGTTCCAGTGCATTGCAGTCAGTATTATCCCTCAGCCTGTTTACTTTCCAGTACTTTCTTTTGTACAGATTTGTTGTCCTCAAATCTTTGTGCTTGGCTTTCTGCTAGATACTGAAAGAGGTGCAGCACATACATACATCTGGAGACAGATTATGTTCTGGTGTGTTTCAGTTATACAGAATTGCCACTGGGAAATGTGGCAACAAGATTAGATGCATTTGATGCTCAAATGTACATTAAGAGCATTAAGGGGTCAGTTTAAATGCAAAAAATAACAGATTCTTATATGAACTGAGCATTAGTCAAGCCTCCTACTGATGAAGGGGATGAAGGGTAACTCCAGAGAAGACAGGCTGCAGTAAGGAACAACTATTGGTGGAGATTTCCACTTTCTGTTCTGGGAAGAAGAGGTTTTTCATCAGGGATGCAAAAACTGGCATGAAATCTATCCTGCGGCATGGTGTTAGATGGAGATGAAGTTGGGCATTACAAGAACCTCTAAAAATGTCTGTTTTCAATATGACTCTATGAATTTAGCAAGCCCCACTACTGGTGTGATGTCACAGTTATATGGAAGGAGGGGAAGGGAGAGAGAGGTGCACCCTTAGGGTCACCCACTTCAAAGTGTCTATAAGAGACTTCTTTGGAAGGGCAGGAGTCAATCTATCCAATATACTCCCATATAGAACTGTTCAACTCTCTGAGTTGTCTGGCTGCCTGATACCCGCAGGGAGGAGAGAGAGAAAACAAAAGTTCAGGAAAACAACTTGTCCATAAGGTCTCCATTCATACCCAAGGCCTCAGTGGTGACGGTGTGGATCCTGCAGTGCTGGCAAGCTGAGTCATTTTGGAAACAACCAGATCAGCTATCAGTTGTCTGTCCTCTTCCACATGCTCCCCAATCAGGGGCATCGAGCTGTCCATCACCTGCCACAGGAGGGAAAACCAACAGTTAGTAAGAAGGTTTCCTGGTGGCAGATGCCTGTTCAACTCACCTCTCACATTAACCTGTTTTGTCTCTCCACATCCATGCCAACACCTAAAGCCACCACTCCCTTCCATGCTGAAACATGCTTTGTTTTCCTAGGCGTGGGATTTTGTTTAGTTTTTTAGTGTTTTTTTTTGTTGGTTTGGTTTTGTTTTTTTTTAATGACATGTACTTGCCCCAATTCTCCATCTTCCTCCCCTTCACAACTTGGAAGCCAAGCCAAGACTTCTGGTTACTGGAGACTTTCTAAATCAGCTGCAACTAAACACAGACTTTCTTCTTCACATGTCCTGAGGAGATGCTTCTGATAGATGAGGTCTTTCTGGCATTGTCCTACAGTATTTAAGGGTGATACTGTAGCAGAAAAGGCCACAGGAGAAGGGAAACAACATGCACTAAAGCCTGAGGAGATGAGAGCAACAGGGACTGGAGGAAACCAGGAAACATTTGGGATTAATCAACACAAAGCACTGCACCCTAAGAGGGGAAATAAACACCACAGATGTGTAATGAATAGGATGTCACCAAAACAACATCAACCGATGCAGGAAAGTAAACTTAATTTCTGCTTGTCTTCTTGATACTGTTGCAAGATGACAAACAAGTAGTACAACTGTGCTGGGGTGAGCTGGAAAGTGGGACTGTGGGGATGGGGCAAGGACAATTGTCAAAGGGTCTTTCTGGTAAGAAATGGTCTGACAACAACAATAATAATGAAAACACAGCAGACCCTCAGCTGTTTAGCAGCCCTAAACATAATTTTCAACAGTTCATCATAAATCAAGTGCTTTGCAAACATTAACCAAATCCCACAGGAAGAGTTGCACTATGATGAAGTTAAGATTCAGCTGGAGTAAATATAATTGTACCAAAATACCAGGGTTGCAAGAGTTTGTTTTATTTTGCTTTTATTTTTAAACCAAACATTAAAAACCCTGGAAATGCAGAGTTGAAGGTTGCATTGCTCAAGAAAGGCACTGACTCACTCTCAGATAACAATCGAAGTGCACTCCACCCCGGGGAGGCTGCAGGAGTCCACTCATGAAGTGAAGTGGAAAGTTTTTCACTCTTTTCTTTTGTTTTTAGATTTAAAGTGGGGTGAAATCAGTGAAGTGAGTTCACTGAGTTTCTATTCTTGCAGAATATTAATTTGGACTCATTTCTGTAGGTGACTCATATTAAGGCTAGAGAACCTCCTAAGGAAGAAGGTTTAACTGGGGTTCGCATGAAGAGTTGGTGTTTGTACCGATGGCCTGCTCGACCCAGGGGGCAAAGAAGGAGGTTAGAAAATGAGGTGGCAGTGCTCAGCTAAGTACACAAAGTGGCTTTTCATTCTGCTGTCTGTTTCTCTGTTAAAATCCGAGGTGAGGAAGGGAGCTCTTCTCCCGCAGTGTTGGGGAACAGCCATTTCCCGCTCGTGTCTCACTGGCCAGGAGCTTCTCGGGGCCCTCCAGCAGGTTCCTGCGGAGCTTCCCTTCCGCTCCCACCTTTAAACCTTTCCCGTTTCTTTTGGCAATTCCAGCTCACTCGTGAGGAAAGAGGTGCCAGCTCCCTGCAGAGGCACCGTGCGAGGGATCTCTCTGGCCACGAGATGATGCTGTTGCTCTGCGCAGAGCCCGGCCAGCCAAGCAAAGCTCCTGGATCGTCCCTGGCACTAACAGGGATAAAGCCCTGGTCAAAACACCCCAGACTCCTCGTTAAGGATCTTAAGGACTGCTTTCTCCTCTTTCTCTGGCAGCAATGGCTGGAGAGGAAGGGGAAGATGCTGCTTTATGAAAGGCACCGGGGGAATGAACCCTGGAGCAGGTTCCACCTGTAGCATTTGGCTACATGAACTGTAGGAGGCTGCCAATAAGGGAATGCACAATCACATGTATAATGGAAGGCCTTTGAATAAGGCAGTGAGTTCTGAGAGCAGAACGACACAGCTGATTGCCACTGAACTGGAAAGGAGCGTGAGATGTCACCTTGTCTGTCCTCTGGGAAAGGGGAATTGCTCCGTAACAGGGCAGATACAAATGCTAATGCTGAAATAAGTCAAATGGCTGAGACGAATATGTGAATCACAGACAGACTGTGCTCAACTCTTCCTGGGGAGATCACAACAGCGGGGCAAGACAAGAAGACATTGGTGCACATGGACCCAGCCTTTGTAACTGCCCTAGGTCAGTGGCTGCTCCTGATGCAGCTGCTGTTGCCTGATAAGGTGCACAAGGAAAGTGGCTGGGGAGAGAAGAGACTCAGGAAAACCCCATCCCGCTCCTCCCCCTGCACCTATCTGGTGCTGAGGCCTGAAGGCTGGACTTGTTCCATGCTCTGATGTACTGTGGAGTGCTAGGTGATTTTTACGGAAGGAGGGAAGGAAGGAAGCAGATGATGAGACGTATCAAAAGAAATGATATGGAAGTGCTGAAGAGATGGGCAGGGCTTCTTGCAGGGCAGCAAATAGCATTTCCAGTAACACAGCTGAGCTGTATAGCAGGTAAGGCTTAGCTTATCCAGCAGGAAGAATGAATCACATGGATCATTTTACTTGTCCTTCACTTGCTCCATATTTGTCAGCATAGCAGAGGTGTGGAAAATTGTTAGATTACCAAAAAAACCCCCCAAAAACCAAAACCAACCAAACAAAAAAGACAGGGGTGGGGGGGAGATTATTAAATCCTACATGCTGCTGAGCTCTTTTCAGAATCTGGCTGCTAGCAGTGGTACTGGACTTGCAGTGTTTTGAGGCTCTGGGCTTCTGATCAAGTGCTGACCATTCTTGCTGACTGTTCCCTTCAAGTGACAAAGTTCTTTAAAGCAGAGGAAAAAGAAGTACCAGCATTTATCATTTACTTTACCATGTTTTAATAGAATGAAACTTTGAAGAAATATATGGATTTATTCAAAGTTTTCAATATGAGCCATGAAAATGGTGCTCAAGTGTGCTTGTACTGTGAAAGACAGAAAAGTACTAGATTCTGCTATTTGCTATGGGAAAAGAAAAGAAGGTGAAGTTCAGGTAACAGCAAATACCATGGGTGCAAGATTGCTCTTGTGCTCTGCTGATAACTCATCTGTCTTAATCTGATTCTGTTTGCAACAAACCACTGTGATAAATCTCAGTTCACAGACCTGCCCATCACTAGCTCTGTGAATCTTTCCTAGAGAACTGCTTTGCACTGTGAAAATTAATTACTGCCTTATTTGTTCAGCCCATTTAGGCATGCTTTCTTGTAAAATGTCACAGCACACTGTTCCTTCTCATCAAGAAAAATACAACTGTCACACTGTCAATTAACTTTTTTCTCACACAATCAAAAGAAAAAAGCAAAATAAAGGATCAGTTTCAGACCACTAAAAGTGACCCAGGAAGTAGGCTGGAGGCAATTACTTACTTGTCAGCATCTCCCTCACATCTGCATAAAGCAGAAAAGGTGCCTGTTTGGCTTTGTTCTGCTCTTTGTATTTCACTACTCTACTCCTTTCCTGACAACGTCCATCAGCCTGGCATCTGAATGCCTGCTAGATGTTGGTACATCAGGCCTGCTTAATCAGGTTCTCCACTGGGCTAATGCAGCATGACCCATCTGAAGTTGATGGTTTCTTCTGATTTGTACCATATTAGGTCAGTTGCATTTTACCTTGGTCTCAGAGAGAGGAGTATTAGTGTACATTTCTCTGTGTGCAGGCTGTTAGCCTATGGATATACTTATCATCCAGTCAGTCACACACAGGGACAGATGTGAATACCCAGAGGTATACCCAGACATAGGCATATAACCCTTAAGCACAGAATTAGCCATGTGTGCACGTTCGTAGGCTTATATGCAAGAATAGATGCAAGGATTTGAAATCCACATCTCACGTCTGACCATGTATGGACACAGTCCAAATGGTCTCAGTCTTCTCTAGCAAGACTTTTTTCTTGCCTTTCCTTTCTCAGCTGCATGTGCATATACATATAAAAGTGCATGGCGAGGTGACAGCCAGCTCTGGGGGATGCTTCTCTAGGTGCTAATGAATTGCATATGGGACCAGACCCACGGGCCATGGCCCCATTCCTTCAGGAAAGACAGAGGCTCACCAGCGTTTTGTTGCTGGCAGTGTGCTTATATCACATGGCCTTTGACAGGTCGCAGCTCCCCAGGGAGCAGATACATAATGCAGGAATGTGCAGTCATTGGAGGGCTCATGTGGTTCTCATCAGAATCCCAGCTCTCAGCGGGTGGGACTGCTCTCCCACACATAGTTTTCCAGTGTGTCAGCACCCCTGCATGAAGCCATAGGCTGGCCCTGCTCATCTTCCTCAGCTGGCCTGTGTTGGTGGAGTTTACAGCAGGTCAGATGCTGTGCCTCCTTGAGTCACAGAATGACAGAAGCACTTGCTTACTTGCCAGATTTTCTCTCCCCCAGAGTGTCTCTTAAGTTTCCACTTTGATTTTTTGGCCAGCTTTTCCTTCTGTTCCCTGTTAGGATGACCTGAGTGTGCTATTTACCTCACTCCCACATCTGCCTCCTGCCCTGGCAAGGAACACATCGAACTTTAGCTCTCAATGCCACTGTCTGTCCAGCTCTGAACACAGAAGTCCGTAGTCTGCACTGCCCATGGTAACTCCGTGGTGCTTTGTCTTGCTGGTCTGTTATTGTAGCAAATGGTCTCTGGGCAAAAGATTTTAGAAAATACACCTGTTTTTTAAATTAAATTGTTCCTGCTACTTATGGACCTTTTTTTGCTACACTCTCACCATTCATTTTACTCTTTTAAATTAGGTGCAGCTAGGATTTTTTATATTGTCTTTAAAGTGATTGAAGAATGACAGGTTCATTTGGAGAGAAACAGATTTTAATGGGCTGAATCACCTGCTGGACCATTAGGCACCTGAATTCTGGTTGGAATGACTATGAAGATGTTTGTTCATGATGCTGTTGATCCCTACTACAGCTGAGAGATGTGCTGGCCTTGCAAGTGCTTAGCCTGGGAAGGATGATGCTGAGGCAATTGTGCTCGGAGAGACACCAAACTTTGGATGCTGCCAGAAACACTTGCAGGCTTGATATGTGCTTGATAAGAAGGTAGCTTCAAATTTGTCCTATGCTGGTAAGATTCTGCACTGTGGGGATCTATCAGCTAGAAAGCTGGGATGGCCAAGAAGCCTGTGGCACTCAATTTCACAGTCCACACTGAAAAATGAAAGCACTTCAACCCTGACACCTTGCTGCATACTTGCCATTTTATCTGGGACTCTAAATCAGTTTTGTGCATACCAGTGGGTCACAGCTTGGAGGATACAGGTGGGCAAGGAGGAGCAGTGACTGCTGGACCATGTACACAGGGGCTAAGTGAGCACATCGGAACACGTGAACTCTAAGGCAGCATGTTTGCAGATGCACTTCCCAAAGGAGACCTGCATTCAGTTTGCCCATGCTCTCACCTCAATGATATAGTCTTTTCCATCTTTGCTGTGGACAGCTTTGACAGCGCAGATGTCAAGACCTCCAAACATTTCTGCGCAGGCGTCTGCCCAGAGTCTGTACCTGCAGAAACCACAGAAGCATGACCTAGAATTAGCTATCATTGGGTAGTCCACCAAATACAGCCACCCATCCCATTGCCCATAGGAATACAAAGAGATTCAGTAGCTCTTTTATCGCAAGGCAGAGTTCATGTGCGTTGCTGGGTCATTGCCTCCCTCTCTGGCACAGAACATGGAACAACAACAACAACAAAGTTTCCTTTTATTTCAGTTGTTTCATTCCTGCCCTGAAAGCCACCTTAAAATTTGTTGTTCTTTTTTTTTTTTTTTTGCTCTCTCCTTGGTATTTACATCAGATCTCCAGTTGGTTGTCATTTAGCCAAGCTATAAATATTTAGCTCATTTAATCTCCCAGTAGTGTTGGCCCCTTAGAGTTTGTATTGGCTTTGCCTAAAAGCCCTCTGTTATGCAGGCAGCTTTCTCCTGATAAGATAACCTGCACATTGGGGCTGGACTAGCATCAGAAAGTGAGTGCAGCATTTAGCAAGGAGTAGCCGTCCCTGCTCTGATCTGCAATCCAGTGGCTCCTGCTTTTTACAATTTACTCTCTCAATTTCATCATTTTACAGTCTCTTGCTTCCCTTCTATCTCCTGGCTGTTGCTCTTAGCCAGGTGGTCCCATCACAAGGACCAGGCACTGCTTTGTTAGAGGGACAGCAACAGACTGCAGCCCTTTTCTCTAGCCATCCCAGGATGGGAATGTGAGCTGGTGCCTCCTTAGATATCCTGGCCTCAGAGGAGGAGAGAGAATGACAAGAGGAATATTATGGGGGGACTGCATTCTCTCTCTGTGGAAATGAGGAAGGAACGAGGCAGCCTGGTTTTATTTCCTGTGCAGCTGCACTGCAGCCCCAACCATTTCAATAAAAATAATAATCTCCAAACAGCAGACCTGTAAGCAGGACTATGACAAGATGCGGGGAGGGGAGGGAAGGCCACAGTCTTGTGAAAACACTGACATTTTGCAGACCTACAGGGACTGGGAAAAGAGCTGTTCTGGCCAAAGGACAAGTTTACAACCTTGAAGCCAGCCAGAGTCCCCATAGTTTGACAATATAATGATCAGCTTGTGTGAATACAGTGTCTGCTGGAGGAAGAAAGAATATGGCTTAAAGGACTACCACTGCACTCTTATCCCTCAGAAGGAGACCAAGCACATTCAGCCCAGCCCCCCTGAGGAAGAAAGCACCTGAGGAGGAATCAATAGTGTAAAAAGGAGGCAAACTATTGCCCATATAAACCAGGCAGGAGGCACTGCCAGCCCCCGCCCCCAGCACTGCTGTGGCCCCACACCCAGTGGCACCATCATGGGAACCACCTCTCTTCCTGAGAGACATCTCTAGGTGTCTGGGTTCAGCACCCAGGCTCAGGGAATTACTGCCCATGCCAGAGACCCAGATGTCTTTGACATTGCTGGCTCTAGGTGAGCACTGGGAAGCACCGGGGTTTCTGCTATGGAGCAGAAGAGCATATTTACACATAGGCATCAGGGGTAGCATTTGCAGAGGACTTACTACCATTTTGCCTAGTATTACCTGAACATGTCAATCCTTTGGGCTAGTGTTCAGTACAGTAGGTACTTCAGGCTGATCCTACTCATCAGAGCATTTCAGCACACTCCTGCCATGTTGCATGCACTGGTGACTTCCACATTTCAGTGGGATTTGTTGCATTTATGGCTGGATAAGCCTACAGTGGTGAAATGCTGTGCTACATCTATAAAATGAACTTTCAAAGTGCAGCATGGCAGGCTGGAAGGAAGCTTCAGCTCTGTCATGAACAAGGATGCATAATAAAAACCAGTTCCTGCAGTCTTATTGAGGGTCTTGGAGAGTCACCTGCATCATCTGATTTGGGGCTTGGCTTGGTTTCCCTGCTTCACAGAACTAAAAAGCTGCAGAGGAGACCTTAGATGATCATCTGCACAACTCTTTTAACCCCAAAGAGGAGACATTTCTCTAATCTGTTCTAAAGAGGACAGAGATTTCACATCTCCTCCAGGCAATCTATTTCTGTGCTATGCTCTCCTTACTGTTAGAAAATATAGGAAATGTTCAAACCAACCTTTTCTGCTATAATTGAAGCCCATTATGTCTTACAGTGTTGTACTAGTAATATAAAGAGTGAGTAATACCCAGCTAGCAGCCTTTTATGTATTTTAAGAACTTGTGCCCTTCAAGTTTTTTCATTTTTAGGATGAAGTGGTGTTCATATTGTAGACAACTTCTTTCACTCTATACAGCTAGTGAGAGAAAATGAACCTCTGCACTGCTGTAATATATTAATTATGCATGAATGTGCACCTCTCCTGGAAAATATCAGTAGTCTGCTAACTGGAAAAGGAGGAAAACTATATAAACAATTGATGCATTATTTTCTCACAGGCTGATTTTGTTTTCTTCTCTGAGCACTCCCTTTATTGTCCTTTGGGCTCTCTCCAGCTCATTGCTCTCATTCTTCAAATGTGGTGCCCAAACCTGGGCAGAGTCAGATTAAAAATGATACTGACAAACTGGAGGTATAATCTGAAAAAAATCTTATATTCCCTAGGGTTGAGTGCCTATACACAGTCTGTGGATTCTAGAAATCTACAAATTATCTATTTAAAGAAACAGGATGGAAAACAAGTTACTTGACAGCAGTTCTGCAGAGTAGAGTTTGGGAATTACAGCAAAGTGAAAGTTACCATGAGTCAACAGTGTCATGCAGTGGCAATATTGGTAATTATCACAGTCATTTGGTGATATTGAAACACCATCTGCAAACTTGAGTCTGTAAGATGCACAAGGCAATTTCTTCTGTCCTGTTCAGCAGTGAGACTTTAGCTAAAACACTGTCCACTTTTGTGAGACTACTGGAAAAAAGCATTTTCAACACTTCAGATGACAGATTTTTCCCTCTGTTGAGCAGAAGAAAAACACTTTTCTGTGTCTGCCTCTCATTAGTAATGCACTTAGAATAACTTCTTGTTGCTTCTTGTTTTGTGCTGTGACCTTTCTGATTTTATCCCTACATGTTTGTGCTTGTGTGCTTGACCTTAGTATGCTGGTCTTGTTTCCTGTGGCTATATTCACTGAAGATCTAATGATTTAGCAATGTTGGTCTCTAGCTGTACTTCCAGTCTGTTCTCAAAAATAGGACAGTTTGCCTTTGTGCCCTTAGTATTTTTTTAAGGAAACACTCGGTCTTTTAAACTTCTTTATCCAACCTCCCAGGAGACCTCACTTACCAGTTCTCTCAGTTAACCAAAGTCTGCAATACAATTCCTCCCTTCTAACCCAAGAATAGCTAATACTGTCTTGAAACCCTCTTCCTTACCTCTCTGTCATTGCAATCTGTTCTAGCATCGCAGAACCTGTGTTTGCCTTCCAGTTTCCAGAGATGGACGTCCTCCTAGGAAAACAAACCAAAAGCATAACCTGAACATGAAAATATACTCCTGCCCCATCCTCCCTCATACTACAGTTCCCATTCTTGACTTAGTGCTTGTACAGGAGGTGATGAGGTGAGGTTTTTCCTCACAGAAGCCTTTCTAAATCCTGCCTCAACAACAAGCCATACAGGATATGTTGTTCAGATTCCGGAACGACTGAATGAGGAGTTAGACAGGGAAACCTCTAAGGAATCTTGAGCACACATCAAACTCTGTCAGTACTTTCTTTCTTTATATATCCATCTCAGGAGAGCTGAAATGTCTGTAGGAGATCTCTGGGATAATCACCCTTGTGTTTGGCATCCTCCATCTGTGGAAGAGCAAATCTCCAGATAAATATCTGCCTGAGCAGCTTCACAAATATCAGCTATGACACTGTGGGTCTCCCTAACTTTGACTCCAATTGTACTGGTTTAATAGAAAATATGATTATACTCTCCTTTCACTGACTTTTCATTGACCTACCTGTGGCTCACTGTATCTGGACTTGGAGAATTTATAATTGTGAAATGGTTGGAGTCTTGTTAGCTGCAACTGATGGTGAATTTTCAGAAAAGATACTGTTTCTGGCAAATGCTGGGTTTCATCATTATCCCTCAAGGAGTGAAAAGAATTCCTTTTCTTGACTTTAGGCACAGGGCAAACATTGGACAGCTTGTTGCAACAACATTGCACAGATAACCCTGGCATAGTGTAGAAGCTAGGACATATCAACATGCAGACAGGATACATCCAGGGAGCATCTCCACACTGAAGGAGATTAAGGTAGAGATTTAGGAGGGGGGTATGAACTATGATCTAGCACTTCAACATGAGGTTTTGGGAACTCTCTGTGCCAGTTCTCTCACCTTTTCCACATGAAAAAGAGACTCTGAACTTGCAAAACTATGTGTAGTGGTGGTAATACTGTTGTCCTGCTAGACTGTAAACCTGGATCATTATAGTTGGCTACCTGAGTTTCCCCTTAACTCTGATAAGGGACTGCCTGGTGTCCTTTTCCCATTTCTCTTCTAAAGTGCTATGTATAGTTGCTGTACAATTTAAATGGTCTTTGCAGCCCATAGTTAAAAGACTAGGAGTGGGGCCAAAGGAACAGGATTATTGTGTTGAATAACTGTGTTTCCATACAGCTGACTCCTGTCATTTGTTCCCTTCATCCACTGTCTGTCTTCCTGCCCTCTACTTTCTAAGCAAAGGTATGATTTTTCTCCTCAGGCTTTGACTGTTGTGAGCTCTTTGATGACATGTAAGGTCAGTGTTCAACCAGCAGCCTCTCTTTCTTTTTTTTTTTTTTAACATGGGATTCTTAGAATTATGTTTTTCAGCTACTCTGGGAAGAGCTACTCTTTTTTAATATTTAGGTTCAAAAAATTGCCCTGCTGTGGCAGATGGCATCCAAAATCCCATTACTACTGATGAGAACTCCTGGAGTCTGATTAGTGACAAGATGATTGGATATCAGGGTTTAGAAAATGTACCTGGCATACAAATTGTAAGTAGCTGTGTCATCCCTAAGCAAATAAAAACACAGCTATTCAGTTTTTCAAGGAAATTTGGTGTGGGAAAGCTCCCAAAATAAGAACTCTGCTCTGGTTATTTTGACTGATTGATTTGACTTGTTTATACCTACCTATTTCCAGCCAATACTGGGCATAAGATGTAAAATATTTCTCTCAGCTGTGTCCATAACTTTCCTTTTTAAAAGGGAACTTCTCTGTTTTTAAATGGAAAAGCTTTGTTTGAAGCCCTCCAGACCAGTCACTGAATTTCTACAATACAGCCTCTGTCAAGATAATTATTTTCCAAGCATGTCTGAACAGTTCAGGTGTCAAGTGTGCCACCAAATTCTTCTTCTTTAACTTCTTGTGTCCAACCTGATGTGGAAAAGGAGGCCAAAAAGAAAGATCTTTCCCTAAGGGTGCCCTGCCTCAAACTCCATTTCTCTCAGGACTCAAAGTGTTTCCAACAATCCTAAATATCAGGGGGCTGCATCACTGTATGGTCAGCATCTTAAAGCAAAGGGTCTCAAGGTGTTAGAGATCAGTATACCAAGCAGATTTGTGACCAAAACACCTTCAGCTTTTCTTAGGGTAAGTGAATAGATGAGCAGATCACGGGCTGTTGGCATCTTATACTCACCATCTCCAACTGGGCCATCTAAGTCTAAAAGTAGCTGTAGTTTGCACACAGTTGGAGTTGTAGCCCCTGCAGAGCATATTGAACCATATTTGAGGTGACAAAATCAGAAGTCACACTCATAGAACTAGAAAGGAAAGAATATTAGCCTCTTATTAAGGGCCAATGGCAAGGAATATCCTATCCCTGAAAGTCAGCAGCTGCTGCCTTCATGGGAAGTGAACATTTCATGAATCTTACCTGGAACTGATGCCTCTGATTGCCCTTAGTTGGGATGAGGATGGAAGTATAATTTCTGCCCCAATTTGCCTTGCCACGTGAGCATTGTTTGTGTTTTCTCTTCACCAGTATTACAATGACAGTGAAATGCATTTAGTGGAATTTTAGGCATGTATCACATGCTGCTTATCGGCTGTTTTGAGACTGGCCCAAGCCGTGGGCTAAGTAGGTGTTGGTTAGTAGTGTAAATCTGGAGTCACTGCACTGAAGTCAATGGGAAACTGAACTCAAGCCTTGGGTCATGGGCTGGAAGGAAGTGCATTGAGCATCTGGGGCAGGGAGGAATGCATGAGTCATCCTGCAGCATCCTCCCTTGGGCAGATGCTTGCTGCAAAATAAACATATTTTGGAGAATTTTGGAACACAGTCTTCTCTCAGAAGTAAGGGGGCTTTTAAAGTCTGTATGTGTGGGTGAAGGTATAAAAATACTGGGTAGATTCCATGGCTCACAGATGAAAGCAATTCACATAGTATGACGCTTCTGCTAATTGCTGTTATGGCTCAGATTTGCTAGCATGACTAATGATTTTGAATCTTCTACTTGAGACACTAGTGAGAGCTCTGATATTTTGGGTGATTTTACCTCTGTCTTTGGAAACAGTAGGGACTTAATAATATCAAAGAAATAACCTTCTATTCTGTCTGATGCTGGGAGAGAAGGAATAGCCCCTGATGGGACTGACTATCCCACTGTCCCAAGCTCACATCCATAAAGGGCTCTCTCAATATAAGTCAACCTTCTGTGTTAGCAAGTCACTGGGTTAATTTTGCTGTTTGTTTTCTTTGCTAATAAGCTTCATTTCTTATGAAGGTGTTTCCCATTCATGGCTGTTTTCATGTGAAAACATTTTTCATTTAGCAAACAATTGTTTGCGCAGCTAGATTCCCAAGTGGGATTAGCTCTTAGTGTGACTGCTTTCTTTGCCTAATCATCTGGTATTATAGTGAGTGTGAATAATAAACAGGGAGAGGATATGGTCAGGCTAACTGGGCCTTTGTTTCACTTAGACGCAGGCTGGGAGCAGGTTCTGGAGCCAAGGCTGGGTACATTGGCAAGAATAGGGAATTTTAATTGATATTTTAAACCTTCCTTCCTTTGGCCAATTTGATCCAGACTCCCTGAGCTGTTAATGTAGTATTAGGCAACTGTGCTATTGTTGACCTGATCAGATTAAAAACAAATTTTCTCCCATTGAGTTCACATGAAGTAACTGAGTGTCCCACAGCTCCTTCCCATGAAGTGTGACTCAGTCATTATCTAGTTTACTTAAATACCTCTGTGCTAGGAATCCAACTGGGAATTTTAGGCAGCTATAGCTGAAAAATATGTGATCATGTACATTTGATTATCTTATTTAACTACATTTCACCAGAACTATAGCCTGGGGGTTTGTCAACATGGACCCAGAACTCAGTGTTGCAGTTGTTACGTAACATATGAAATTTAGCTGGTGACCTGAAGAATGTACTGCTGGAGCTGTCTCCTTGTCCAGAATTTTGTGGCTGGAGAAGGAGCTTCTGGAGAAGCTGTGGTGTTTGGCTTTTCTCATCTACTGCTTTGCAGTAAGAAACAGGTGTCTTACTGACTCATGTTGTTACAATTTTAATTGAGCTTGATGACTACTTAAGTTTGGCTGAATGCTTTCAAATAATTTGAAACATACCACCATTGAGTGTTGTTTTCATGCCACCTCTCTCTCTACCCCACAGGGCAGGGAGGAGCTTTGGGGCACCCACAAAAATGTCTTTCCTTCTGTCCCTCCTTTGAAGCTCCTAGGCTTCAAGGAGCATACATGCAAAATGCTTATAGAAATCCTGCATGTTGGCCAGACTGAGGCCATTTGTACTTAGTGCTGTGTGCTCCTCATGTCCTTGTATGATTGCCGTGCCATGATATCCAGCTGGGGAGATGATGTGATGTTGGTATGGGTTGGCCACTGTAGGATTCCATGAGTTGCATCTGGCTCAGTTTTTTTTATTTTTTCCCCCAGGTGAGAAGGTGGTGGGTTCAGCTGTCACTACAGTGTACTGGGAGCTGAAGGATTTTGCTGGGATAGTTGAGCATTTCCACAGCAGGAGGGAGAAGTGATAGGTGATGGCAGAGCACAGTTGTTATTGTGGGAGCTAAGTGAATCTCAGAAACAGGTAGAGAAAGATTTACCTTCCAGAAACAATGAGCTGATTTTGACTAAAGGAGAAGATAATCGGTGGATGAGGGATCTGGGTTCAGAGGTGGGAGGAAAACAGCAGGGCTATTTTTCAAGGAAATTCTTACTGCTGCCCAGAGCAGACACTGACTGAATCACATCCACAGCACTGTCTCCCCCTCCAAGTCTCACTCCATCCTAGCCACACACTCACATGTAAGCCTTGTAGTTGCTGCCAATTTTCTGGATTCGGATGTCGTACTTGGAGTCAATGAAGGGCTCAGCGGTGGCGTAGGTTTTTGCCATGGCTACTATGCTGGCCATGTCCCGGAAGTCGTGCTGGTTCTCAACTTTGACCTTGATTGCCAAAATGCCATGAAAAAGTGACAAGAGCAAAAAAAGAACAGCAAGACTTTGTGAGCAGAAGTCATCTCTATGCCTGAACAGCACAATATCAGTTAAAACCCACACAGACGGAGCTGAGGCAGAGCAGGAATTGTGTGATTTAAAGAGAGAAGTTCCCTACAACAACCCAGCCCAGGGCGAATCAACCCCTTTCTCTTTCCTTGTGCACAAGCCCTGGTAAACCTGGCACCAAGGAGACAGCTAGACCTTTGCCCATATGGCTCTTGCTAATGATCTTGGGTTTTACCGTGTTTCAGAAAAAAAATTGATCTCTTAAGGGATATTACTGCATTCAAACATTGGAGCTGCTGTTTCCCATGTTGAGATGGATGAAAACAGGTGGGTTAGGGTCAGGGTCTCAGGTGGTCAGGAAATATAAACCAATGGTAGGGAATCAACAAGAGAGCTGGTTGCCTGCCACCTCTAGGCTGCAATTCCCTGGTATTTCACTTTACCCTCCTCCAGTTTGTTTGGGTTTTTTTTTGTCTTTTTGAGGAGCAGTATAGGTCTCCTGGCTGGAAGCAAGTTCTGAAGAAAAAGGATATTTCTGGGGGAGCCTGTGATTCTTGGGGAGATTTGTGTGAGTGTAATGCTATGGGTACGTGTGGTACATCTGGTTGGGTGTTAAACTGGAGTTGCACTTGGAAGTGAGAGGGCAGTGGCCTGTAACCTGGAGATTTTATGAGAAACTGGCTTTTCATAGATTCATATTCAGTTATTAGAAATGCTCTGTATCTTATTTAAAAAACAAAACAAAACAAAGCACCAAAACAGTGGCACCTGTAATGATACAGTTGCATCTCTGCAAAAGCTCATTGTTTTGAGAGAGTAAAACTGAACAAGTAGGTAGCATGAACCTACTTGTAGGTAGTGAACAACTCATTAATATTATCAACCTAGTCTTCAGTTTATTGGCAAAAACCTGCTTGCTGCATCAGAGGAACCTGTGCAATTCTTGTTCCCTAAAGTAGAACAGATGCAGGAAGGGTGGGTTAATTGGTGGAAAAAAGACCAACATGGTGTGAAAAGAGTGAGCGAGTGACTTTCTTGACCCACTACCTACACTTTGTACTTTGCTAACACTTTGAGGCCACAGTTGGGGATTGCAAGCCTGCTTTGCTAAGTGTCTACATGATCAGGACAATTGCTAGGTCTCTGCCCTAGAAGAGCTTCTTAGTTGCGTCAGCATGTGTGTGTCAAAGGAAGGTGATGCCAGACTATGTGGAGCCGGCTGAAGGAAACGCCTGCAATGGTATTTGGTGTTTCTTTGCAAAGAACAAACAAGTGGCTTTACATATCTGCCTTTCAACCATGAGAGGGCAGGAGCCATCTTCACTAGAGAACAGAGGACAAGCTTGTTTCTAAACTGTCTTATTCTGTACAGACAGCTTTTTGTAAGCACCAGTTGTAACAGAAGCCAGAGATACAGCCCCATCCAGGTGCAGAAAAGCTCTTGAGAACTGGACAGGTTGTGGGGAAGGTAAAAGTGCAACTAGTTTGACCTGTGACCATTTCTAGATACCTGAATAAGAAAAAAAAAAAAAAGCAAAACAACAAAAAAACCTGGTCTTTGCTTTTCCTTTTGCTGAACCCCAAATATCCATAGTCCTCCTCCCTTTTCCTACAGTGAGGGTTGTGCTCTTCCTATTCAGGAACTGCTGAGAAATGGAGCAGAAGAAGATGACAATCATCTTTGAGGTGGGAGGGTAGGGAAAAAAAAAAGAAAAAGAATTAACAAACACGAAGGGGAGATGTAAAGGCAACCATTGCATATCATCCAGGAAGAGCAGCCTTGCTCTGAGCTGTGTTGTTCCCCTCTGTATCTGAGTGGGGTTGCGTGCAGCGCCAGCTCCTCCTGACACGGCAGGGCAGGGTGAAGCAGTAGGAAAGCCCTGGAGGTGGCAGGGGAGAGGGGTAGGGGAGCACCTCCCATGGGAGAGCCCCCAGCCTGACCATGGCTCACAAAACCCCAGGGGGGAGGATTTTACTGTATTGGGGCGGAGTATTTTTGCTGCACTGATAAGAGCAGCGCTGGGCTGAATGACATCAAGCCAGAGAGCCCCACCCAGATGAGATGATGGCAGGAGGGACTGCGCAGGCAGGTGATGCAGGGTGTTACGGCATTTTCTCCTGAACCCTTTTGGCAATGGGAAAAGACAGAAGCCATTATATAATTACCTATTTGGAACAAGGGCACTTGCAGGATCTGAAACAAAGTGCTGTGCTTGTGCCACAGATGTCTTTGGGCTCTGACTGAAACATTTACATTCCCAGCCCAGAAACCTTTGTCCCAGAGGCAGAGGAAGGGATACTGCTTCCCTCTTCACATTGGAATTAGACTGAATTGTTATTGCTAGAAACCAGCTGTGTGCTTGTCTTGTTCAATGGGATTTCTTCTCAAAAACACTGCATGCTATGGAAAGGAAGAGTCCATTTCTCCCTCCTCTCCATTTCCCTCTCCCCATGGGGAGAGAGGAAAAGCACTTGGTGTTTTCTCCAGACGATTTTTGGCCGGGTAAACAGTTAAAGGGGGGGGGAATGGGACTCAATGAGGACACAAAGTAAGAAATTAAAAGCAAAGACTACTCCCACAGGGCTACAACACTGCACAGCCCTCAGGACATAGCTCTGCCATCTTGCCTGACCCATGCCAGAGCCCTCCCTGTGGTCTTTTCAGAGAAAGCACCTCACAAAGGTCCCCTTTTAGGAGATCACAGCCTTATTTCCCACCAGGCATCAAAATAATCACCACCCCAAAGCTGAAATCTGAGCCACCATTTGTTAATTGTTAGAGCTGGCCAAATTTGACAAAATAACAGCCATGTCCTGGGTTAACACTAGTTTAGTCCAGGGTGCAGTTATTACTTCATAAACAGGAAGCACTCGAGTTACAGTCAAATTAGATTTATATTCCTCCCTTATCTACCAAGCCTGCCATTTTATTAATTTTCTACTTTTAAATTTTGTATAATTCATTTCCTCCTGCTATGTAACCCTTTTACATGTCAATAAAATATCCATTCTTCTAAGAGGAGAAAAAACCTTTGAGATAACTGAAGCCAGGGGGGATGTAGTGTGACGCCAGAGGCATTATTTAAGAAGGGACTATTAAAAATCATTCTAGAGCAAACAGTTACCAATTTATCTAATAAGTGATAAATCTGTTTTACTAAAATGGCAGGTTGGCCAATGCATGAAACTGAGAAAAGAAGCTGGAAAGAGATCAACAGGAAGCCATTTCTCTCTCTCTTTCTCTTTTTTTTTTTTTTTTTTTTTTTTCACCCTTCTTTGGACAAATGCAATATCCCATTAGGTGCTTAGAGGAGAGCAAACAGTGAGTGCAAACACAGCCCCTGCCCTGGCAGTCTGTTTGCTTAGCTGCACTGGCTGTTTGACCAGCAATAGACTCATTCTGGAGCCATCAGCTGCTGTTTGCTGTAGCATTTTAGTGACCTGTTGCAAAGAGTTTGGGCCAATGTGCTGACAAATGCCTCTTCTGAGTAAGAAAGCTCCCCAGGAGAGTCCCTGCTTCCCTTCTGGCTCTCTTCTCTAACCCAGGCACTGGCTGTGCCCTAGCATGCTCCTTGTTGCTGCATTGGAGAAGGGAATCTGGCTGGACCTCTGAGAATGTGCTCACACAGATGTGACCATCCCTTTGCCCTCTGGTGGCATCTCAGAAGCTGATACTACATGACTTGGTGCCTGTTCTTATCCTTATCCTACACAAGAGGCAGTGATCTTGCTGCCTTTGGCTGGAGAAGTGGTCTGAGGGACAGATCAGGAAGAAACACCTCTGTCCCATCCCTGCCGTGGACCTTCTTTTCAAGCTTTCCTGCAAGATGCGATTTTGGAGACTGCATCCCGGCATTGTTAAAAACCCACTCTGCTTATTTCCCAGACAGTCTGAGACACCCCTGAGCACAGATTCCTTCAGTGAGGGGCCTAGGCAGAAATTTCTGCTTCCACTATCTTTTGGTTCCCAAATCTACTGCCTCTTGTATATCCCAGATGTTCCTGGACACCAGGGTCCCAAGGCTACAGCCTTCCTCTTCCATCTTTAGCCTAAGAACTGCCAAGTATTGCCTCACAGTCCCCTTTTGCTTTCATTAGTTATGTGGCCACATAGAAAAATAGTCAGCCAAAGTGGTGTAATTATAGTTGTTTGCTAGGGATGCCTGAGCCATGCTTCTCTGACTGTCATCCAGAGTTAAATCTGCCCCACAGGTTAAACACACACCACTTTGGAGATGGTTTGCAGAAGCATTTTCTGTGTCCAAACTGGAGTTAGAAGCAGGTTCAGCTGAAAGGTAAGTGTCCAAGACTTGGCAACAGAGTGTTTAACTGGGTCTTGGTAGGCTTGTGAAAATGCCTGAGTGTTTTCCTCCAGAGGAACTGGCATGGCCACACAAAGCTTGTGATTTTTTTGACTGTCTTGACCTGTGCTTACCCTTTCTGTAGTGACTTTGTCATTTTGGGACAGCAGGTCT